TGTGTGTGTGTGTGTGTGTGTGTGTGTGTGTGTGTGTGTGTGTGTGTATCTGCCAACATTAAATTGTATAAAATATATAGCTGTTTTAGTATGGACAGGCCATTTGGGTTTTGAGTGTTATATAAAGCTTTCTATACACTTTATGTCACAAGAAAATATTTCAATTTGCTAACCTTTCTGGGATTTCAAGTCCACATTCCCCATTTGGCTGACATAAACATCTATAGCACCCTCATGTGTTGAAGCTTTTAGGTGTCCATTTAATGAATCTGGAAAAAAGATCACAGGGGCAGAGATTTAGTAGTGATACATCATTTTTGTTAGCAGAAGAAACATTTTAAATCTGAAGTGAAGGGAACTTTAGAAACAGGATAAGAAGGTTCTAAGGCTCATTCTAAAGGACACTGACCATTATTTCCTTCAACTTTTCAACATTTCAACTTTTTCATAATAATTACTTTTACTAGATTCCTGGAAAACGTGTATACCTTAAGAGGACTCAATGACCATATTTACTTGGATAGTACTACCACTAAATTTTGAGGTAGTTAGCTAATCAGTCAGTAAACATTTAAGTCCCTACTATGTGCCAGAAAGTGAGGTAAGCATTGAGGATACAAAAGCCCAAAGACAGTCTTTCACAATCTAATGAGAGAGATAACATGCAAACAACTACATACAAAAAGACCACTTACAGAGATAAATAGGAATTAAGAGAGATTGGGAACCCCCAATTGCCTCACACACAAAAAAAAAGGAAAAAAAAGAAGAGAAATTGGGAGAGGCTTCTTAGAGAAGGTGGGATTTAAGCTCGGACTTGAAGGAAGCCAGAGAAGACAGGAGGCAGGGATGAGGAGGGAGAACATTCCAGATAAGGGGAAGCCTTGTGAAAATGCCCAGAATCACGAGATGGATGATCTTGTGTAAGGAAATGCAAGCAGGCCCAGTGAACTGAAGAGTACATGAGTTGGTATACCATGTAAGACTGGGAAGGTTAGGGGAAGTGGGTGGCTAGGTTATGAAGGGCTTTGAATGCCAGATAATTTTGTATTTGATCCTAGAAGTAATATGGAGCCAATGGAGTTTACCGAACAGAAACTGACATGATCAGGCCTAAGCTTCAGAATCGGCAATCTTAATCTAAAACCTTTACTTCAATAATTTTATAGCTCCTAAAAAGTGCAAGACTGCTTTAGCAAAAGCTTTGTGTGCTAACTGAGAGGTGGAAGGAGGGAATGGGACCCCCAAAAGGTAAAGAATTTGAAAAGCAATTAAAGGTAATGTTCAAATTTAGGACTGGGGAGTTTTCATGTTTTTGGTGCAGGGAAGAAAATCAATAGCTACAAAAACCTAGTTTGCCGCCTGAATTCTTCCACAGAATACCCAATGTACAACTAACCTTACAGCCTCGGTTTAAGGGACACATAATTAGGACAGAAATATGGAGCAAGAAAAGAGCCTGTACTAAGTAGTTTCCCTCTCCAAAACCAATGGCAAAAAACAATTGCACTTATTTAACCCTTTTTCATCCTTAGCAAGGACAAAGCATGTTACACTTAAGAAGCTTCTTATGACAGAAAATATTGCTTCAACTGTAGAGAAAGAAGCTGTTCATGAATGAAACATTTCCCTTGATATTCTCAAAATGTGAAGGAGGAGGAGTCAACATAAAGGAAAAAAACTGAGGAAATACAATAAATATTAGTCACAAATTCAGCAGATTTGTATTCCACAGCAAAGCTGTAACTAATTTCTTAAATAATCTAAAGTGACAGACTAGACTCTCTCCAGGAGAAACTTCTAAAGAAGGCAACTTATTTCCTACACAGTTGGAAAATGTGAACATTTTGTCACCAGGATATTTTATATTCACTCATGACCAATGTAGATGGGAAACATGTCCTTTATTTGAATAAACTTATTTACTGCTTATGTGCCGTAAGTCAAAACTAATGCTGAGAAGTTAAGCTTTTGGAGACAGGAGATGATGCTACACGTCATGAAGTACCAACTAGTTTTTTAAAACTTCTTTAATATCCCTGAAGAGGACATGCCAGTTAAAATGTAAAAGTGAACAGTCAATGTGCTTATGATTCCAGTCAACAAGCTTAAAGAAGTATGATTTCTTATTTATTCTGAGGAAATAAAAGGAAAAACAAGATGTCTATCTCACAAGTAACTCTTTTCTTTTTCTTCCTTAAATAAGTAACAAACACCAGATTTTAACATCTGAACAGTTGTACTATAATAATGGCCCCACAGAGACTGTCAGAGGAAACTAAATGATTTACTGTTGTAGAAAAAAAATACACCATCAATGATATCCAGCAAAAGCTAATCTTTAATTTTCATGTATTTTCTTTCATAAAGCTGATTCCAACAATCTTTTAAGAATCAAAGTAAAATTTTCATTTTCTGATGTTGCATTGAAGTAGCTAAGAAAGCAGAAATAGTTCTGATCTGGAAATATTCTCACCATAATTACAGGCTCACAAAATACAGAAAAATTCCATAGGCCTCAAGAGCAGCCTAGGGAGGAAATATGCATCAGAAGGCGATTAAAACAAAGTGAACAGGAATCCTTTGTCCAGACAGTGGTTGTAACAAGCAGGATCCCACAGAGAGCTTTTTGTCATTACAACATTGGCAAGAACTTTATATGTCTGACAGATGCAACTAAGTTATGAATAGGGAAAATATATCATTGTCCAGCTAAAACCACCTGAAACCACAAAGATGAATTTAGCTGAAGTGTATCAGGGATGACTTTGAAATCTAACAATGAACTAACACCGGGAATATAAATTTGGTTAATAGCAGAGGGAAAAAATAAAGGGCAAGACTAAGATCCAGGGAAAGAATGGGCTGCAAATTCAATTTAATTCAAGAAAAACTTATTAAACGCCTACTGTGTGCAAGTTACTATCCCAGAGTAACAAGGTATGGGAGAAGCGATATTCTAACTGCTGCCCTTATGACTTTGTGCTACTCTGTCTCATTTAAATCCAGTTCACGCACAAGTCAAGTAATCACTCACGACGTCATTGGTCCTCTTTGAAAGTCAAGGATGAATGGCACCACCAGTTCTCTGCCAAGAGCTTGCCTCCCACCACAGCCAGGCAGCAATGGCAGAATAAACAGATCAGTGAGGAATAGCTGGCAGAACTGTCTGCTTATCCTCTTTTCCATGGGGACTAAGCAAGATGAGGCAATCCTAAATAAAATTTCATAACTGAACTGTTTTTGTGTCAGCTCCTATTTAAAGATAGAACATATGTTCTAACATTCCAGAATTAACCTACCATTGAAAAATGGTATTCCACTGAAACGCAAATTCCTTGTGTAAGATATCTAACACTAGGTATCTCTATTTCCTTTCCTTTGACTCTCTTCTAAACCTTTTGCAAGTGGAATTCCAATTTCATTCAACTGTTCTCCCCAAAGTTATAAGCTCTTAACTGCTAAATCTAATGTACTCAGTTCTCATGCTTCTTGACCTCTCTGTAGCATTTAAAATAGCTGATCATGCTCTCCTCCTGGACACTCTCTCTTCTGGATTTTCATGACACTTCTCTTATAGTTCTCCCATTTGACTATTCCTCTGTGGTATTCTCCTTTGTTAGTTCTTCATCTATGACACACCCACTAACCAAAGTGTACCCCAATGCTCTGTACTGAGTCATCTTCTCTTATGCCTCTATACTGTCTCACCTGGTGATCACATTAGCTCCAATGTTTTCAATTATCACCTCTGTGCAGTTGACTAGTAGGGAGTTGATACCCAATATAAGTAAGGAAATATTAAAAAAAAAAAAGCACATAGCTGCCTTTTGATGAATTCAAGTCACCCAGCCCATACAAATTACATCATTGGATCTGGAAATAACTAGCAGGTGTGATTGTTGAGCCACTGGAAAGATCATGGAAAAGAGCAAAGGTATGAAATTGGAAAAAAGTCAAATGTCGTAATTTTCAGAAAAAGAAAAGAGAACAGAGTGTAAACCACAGTCCAGTGAGATTTACTTCACTTCCTAGGAACAATCTAGAACACATTATTAAAGAGATGGTTGGCAAATACCTAGAAAGGAAAGCAGACAACAAAGAGCCAAAATGGCTTCATCAAGAACAGGTCATGCCAGACTAACCTCATTTTCTTTGAAAGGATTTTTTTTTTAAAGGATTACTCAAGTAGTAGATACATGGAATGCTATGAATGTAGTTTACCTATATTTGAGCAAATTTTTGATAAAATGTCTTGTGCTATTCTCATAATCTCGGAGGTATGGATTAGACAATAACATAATTGGATTCAGAACTGGTTGTATAGTTAGATTTAATAAGTGTTCATTGCCAACAATGGTAGGAGGTCTCTAGTGGAGTACCTCAGGGATTTGGCCCTGTGACACTTAATATTTTTGTCAATGATTTGAGTAAAGGTTTATCAAATTTTTGAGAAGATTAAAAAAATTTTTAAATTAAAAATTAAAAAATTAAAAATCAACTTCCTAATTTTAAAATGGAGGAGTCATGGATAGACAACAAGTGTTCAGAAAAAAAATCTGTTGAATTGTAGTAGCCAAAAACCTAATATGATCTTGGACTACATCAAGAGTGGGCACTGCTTCCAGGATCAGGGAAGTCATAGACCAACGTATTCTACCTTCACCTCATTTTAACTACTGTATTCAATTTCATGTGTCATGGTTTCAAGAGGAGGGCAACTAGGATGGTTAAGGGCCTTAAGTCTATGTCACCTAAGGATCAATTAAAGAAACCAGAAATGTTTAGCCTGAAAAGGGAAGACTCAAAGTGAGATATAATAGCTGTCCTCAAGCATTCAAAAGGCTGTCATGTGCCAGTGATATAAGACTTGTTTTGTTTGACCCCAAATAATAGATCTGGAAGAAATGTACAGAAGATGCAAAGAGGTAAATTTAAGCTTGATGTCAGAAAAAAAAATAAACTTCCTACCAATTAGAGCCATCCCAAAGTAGAATGAGCTTCCTACAGAGGTGATATATTGTCCCTCCTTAGAGGTCTTCAGGCAGAAGCTGGACAATCACTTGTCAAGAATACCATCGTGGGGATTCCTTTCTGTACATGCTAAAATAGATGGCTCTAGAAGTCTCTTCCAACTCTTAGATCAGTAATTGTGATTCCCAGATCTATATATGTAATCACTATCATCACTAACCAACTTCTGTGCATCTGAACAGGTGTCTCAAAATGTCCACAAGAGAACTCTTTAATCTTTTTCCCCAAACCCATC